ATGACGGTTTCGTGGTCCCTAGTGGCTACCCATCTATTCTACATTCCTGCAGTACTCGCTGTCTTCTGCTGGAGTACACTATCTTAAGTTTTTGCCAGGTCTATGAAACTGACTTGAATCTCCTTTGCATTCTCTTAGCCTTTCTGACAGACGATAATTAACTTATCCATGGTATTGCGACCAAGTCGAAAGACTTATTGCTCGTCCCATTTTTCGATATTTTGCGTCATTTTAACCCGTTAGGCCTTGGTAGTTTCTTTATCATCTCTGATACTCTCTGTTGAACACGGGGGTAACCGCACGAAACTGTCACTAATTTTGCGCTTTTCATGCAACCTGCTCTTTCCGATCAGGGGTTTTAAGGTGTCATGTCCGTTTTCTTCATTCCCAGCAGTATCTTTCAGCGATTTGGTAGCATCTATCATTTCAACCACTGTGATACCGCTTCCTGTTTCAGAATGCAGTTCGGACTGTTATCAGTATCTACAGTGCCCAGTTCAGGAGATATTTTAAGTATCTATTTTCGCCTTTTGTAAATGATATTTTCCTTGCTATCTAGGAGGTTTTCTTGTTCGTTACAGCTTGGGTTGCCTGACTTTTGCCCACGCAGATGGAAGATATTCGCCAAAGGACTTAGCCAGTAAGCAGTCACAGTTACGTTTTTCTCAGAACAATTCTTAAGCTCTACCTTTGGAGCTTTCGCTGATTGTCCTGCAGTTTGGCGGGCTTACGGATTGCGAGGTGCTAAAACGGCAAAGAAGATATAACATTGTGCAAGCTAGTGTATTTTATTTAATATTCACCTTACGGTTTTTCAGACTGTACCGTAAAGAAATGCGTCCTAAATTAAAATTGAAACCATCTTTTAGTATTTTAAACCATTAACAGTGAACGTGGAACAGAAGTACTAATCAGCTACTCTGTCGAGAAAATCTTGAATAATAGTATCTGCAGGACTTATTTGACTTTAGGTGTCTATTAGCGCTACAAGCATATTACTGGGCAGCAGCGGATTTTTTTCTGTCGTGATGGCAAATATTTCTGTTGAGTCACTCGAATATTACAGGATTTCGAAATATTCAGCCCGTCATCTTGAGTTACTTTGAGCTCTGACAGCGAATTTTTCTGAACGTCGTCGATGAGAACTTTATGACGTTACACTCGCTTGGCTGATTCCTCTGTCATTACGGCAAGTCATCCTGTCATTACGGTGTCCATTCTGTCAGGGTCTTTTTTAAAATCAGGGCTTATTTTTCCATTTGTCTTTGAATTACATGGAGTCTCTGGCTGTTTGTTCAGTAGACGTATTCCCTTAACTTTGTGTATTTGCTGTCATATTTCAATCGATTCGTCCTTCATTCTTCAATGCAGAGTTTAGTTCGTTAATAAAATAACTTGCGGTGAAACATAATCGTCATGGTGATCTGTATCCAGTGAAGAACCTGAAAAGTGACAAAGCCTTTAGCATGATGGAATGAGGCCTGTTTAATTTTTCATCAGTTACTAGTATATCTGTTGTTCGATATTGTGTTAAAACAAAGGTCAGTATCTAGTGTCAGGTTCTTGTATTTGACGCCTTTGATATCTGGTACTCTGGCAAGACCTACTCGTGATGCACCTCTTTGAATCAAACGTGCAGAGATAAGCCTATGAATCAAATAAAATCAAATCAAATATAATCCTTCCTACAGCGTATGCATTTTGTAATGATGTACACTGCAGGGATAGGTATATCCGCTTCTGTCTAAAAGACTTTTTTAATGGCGCGAGTGCTTCCTCGTGCGTTCTGTCAAGACGCTAAGTTGTTCTTTTGCCAGAATCGTTAAAGTAATGCAGCCTTGCTCCACTTTTTCCTGCCTTTCGTGATTTTAGTGCCATGAATGAAATATTGAATTCTGTCCATTTGCGGATTTCATTTGTCCCCAGCCTCCATTACAATTTTTCTTCCTGTCTTTAGACGACAATCGCTCATGAAAAAGCTACTTTCTTTTCTTTGCTTATTTACACGGCAATTGTGATAGATGATTCACAGTCTTTCGTCGTAATTCTGCAGTACAAAGTTCTAGAGCGCATGGGTTTCTTGAAACGTCCTGTGAGCGCCCGATGATTTTCGCTGCCAGATTCATGGTTGGAATATATTTGTTTTAGCTACCCTAGTATTTAAGGAAGACGCATTCCGTAATCGTTTCCTCTGACTTTCGTTCGCCTATGTTTAAGGTAAAAGAGTAGATAATGATAGATTTGTACAAGAAGATCCACATGAGCTCTCTTTACGATGAACTTAAAAGACAGCCCTCACAACATCACCGCATACTTTCAAATAACAAGACGGGTTTCTGACAATATACGGTACTCCAAGTAAAACGAATTTTCTTATAGTTAAAGTCACAAGTGAGAACAAATGCTCCATGACGTCTCCGGACTGCATTAGCCTACAAATCGTTACATTCGTATGCCCACACTAATTAACATACCGTTAACCGCACTATTACTCTGCTGCATTACTTGCAAGATTTTTTGTCAGTATCTTTTACCTAAAGCTATAGATGATTTTTTAGAGACGGAAAACCGGCAGTGTGTTAGAAATATATCAATAACACTGTTATGTTAGGTCCTCGCTACACATACCAAGAGTGAGATTGTTTTGTCGTAGTATGCAAAAACTTCCCAATTTCTTTGGGTCATTGCTGAATACTTGTAAATTTCAATCTCAGCCTTCCAGAGTATGTTGAGTCAAGCATATCATGATCAATCCCAGTCATTATCGCTGAACAACTAATCGCATGGACAGTAAACGTTTACTTACCTGGTCGTCATTCTGTCCTTTGAAATCAGTTCGCCCTGCGCAGATTATGTCCGTGAGTATTCGCTGATGCGCATTTTCGTTCTTTATCCAGTCTGAGAAACCTCCGCACTTTTACGATCACGTTAAGGAGCTTTCCTTTGTGCGCATGCTGCTGTTTTAACGCGTACTATGGCAAGTAATTGATTCCGCAGTGGAGAAATGTGACTACAGTGCCTCTAGATATTCAGGGCGATAATCTACACGAGAGCATATCTGTAGATGATAACAAATGATACCTGCCCTGCCCGCTGCTGAACATTTCTACAGCTTTGCATAACTGATAACATTCATAGAAATGGCAGACACCGTCTTCTAATGATTTGGTGCAGTTACTGCGATGGCAGTTATATCACATCGCAGTATAAGAATCACAGTCTATGCAAAATGCTAACAGATATCACTTTGTTGTTGTCATTTTTATCTGAGGTGTCTAATATCACTGCAGCTGTACTTCACTGCTGTTTTCTCAGTGGACGATAATTCTGTTATCGCTTCTGCGGTATCGTTTGTATAGGTTTTTCATTACCTTTTCCCGAACTGTAAATTTTTTCACATCGCCATTCCGTTTATATTCATGTAATGAATGATTGTCTATTTTATTCAGGTAGTAAATTTTTAATTTTTAGTCTGAACAAATGCATTTCACTCATCGCTAAGCAGTCAAGTAGTTGAATATGCGCAGTGAACAAAAAATGCGTATTCAAGGTGGTCCCACTTTTAGCGATGTCGTTTTTCTTCCCTTATGCTTTGTAACAAATGTTAAAAAAATTATTTGTTTGTGAGCTTGTTCTGAACCACTAATTAATTAAATGTTGATGCACTCAAATATTCTGAACTGCTTAGTTTTCATTTACGCATTTTGTTGCATTTCGTAGTTTTCAGTATTTCAGAAATCATGGTACAGAATAAGAATAAATCCAGTGCGGAACAATGTGAAGTACAGTCGTCTTCCAGTGAGGAAGAGATCGATGGAAGTAAATACGTGCGCATGGAAAAAATTTTGAACAGTTTATGCTTCAAGAACCCTGGGCCAGCGAATGATATAACCACTTACTTTGGTGGTCAGCGGGCATCAGAGCAGGAAGTTTTGAAAAGCACAGAAGTGAAGTATGACAAGCGCGGATATATCATGGTGAGTAGCATATTTCATAAACAGCTTTTAACTGCTTTTGCTTCAGGGACTGGATGTGTGCGACTGTTTAAACGAAAGGTGCGTCGGCTGTTTCTTTCCATGCAAACAGTGCAAATCCAACAAGTGTGGTGTACATTGTAGAGTTAATAGGAATTACATGTATGATTCTGCATACGTGGAAACCAGTAATGAGCAGTACCGAAAAAACGAGCTTCTTCTTCCGGGTCGTTTCAAGCAAGGAAACCAAGGAACTAGTGGACGGTCCTCTTAACTGTATTGCTTCTGTAGTAAATCGCATGGATTCGATTTGCTGGTTTTGCTTTTAAACATGTCACTTTGCTAAGCATCCTTGCAAAAAATAGATTGATTCTCTCCAAAAGCCAAATTTTGCGGTAAATAGTTAACAGAGTTACCTTGTATGAAGATCGACAGTAAATTTATTCATTTTACAATGGAAACAAACTGGCAGCGTTACTGTGCCAGTGTCTCCTGTAGGCTATATTTTCTAATATTTTACAGTAAACAAATTTTATCGACATGAAAATTCACTCGAGATCAGAGCACTGATGTCATGAGCCTCAGGCACGGAAGTTTATGCGTTACGAGTTGTAGCATACACAAGTTCAGGTTCTAAAACATTTGCGCAAACTGTTACGTACAGCATCTTAGGCAGTGAAACAGCAACTGCGTAAGCAGAAACAGTACTACGTAGAAGATACAGCCTTTTACAAGAGGTTCTGTATTT